TGCTGGAGAGCGACCGTCCAGAGACTGTGGACCAGGAGTTGCTCTATAGTTTAGCAGGAGCGTATCCAGCACTTCTGTCGTGGTCCCCTCCCCTTCTGCTTTTGTCAACGCACTTTTAAAGGTGTCAACTAACCGTTCAGCTTGACCGTTGGATTGGGGATGGAATGGTGGAGAAGTAACATGTGTGATGTCGTGTCTTCGAACGAATTCGCTAAACTGGTGGGATGTAAACTGAGTACCATTGTCGGACAAAATTGTTTCCGGGATACCGAATATTGAAAACAAATGTCGCAGTTTAGTGATGGTTGCCATCGTTGTTGTCTCCGACATAATAAGGAATTCAGGCCACTTACTGAATGCATCGACAACGAGGAAGCTTTGTCCGTTAATTGGCCCGGCAAAATCCACATGGATGTGCGACCATGGTTTTTCTGGCTGTGGCCAAGTCTGACGTGACTGTCGGTCGGGTAACTTCTGGGAAGCTGCGCAACGGAAACAACTCCGACATAACTGCTCAATGTGCTCATCCATACCGGGCCAGCAAACATAACTGCGAGCAAGAGCCTTCATGCGGCTTATCCCTGGATGTCCACTGTGGACCTGTGCTAGGACCCGTTGACGAAGTTCGGTGGGAATGACAATTCGGTCACCAAAGAGAAGACAGCCATTGACAACAGATAATGAACTCCGTCACTGAACAAAGTTTCCGTAGTTCCCCTTGTGGACTGGTGGTTTGCCAGCTTGAGTGGTGGTACTCCATTGCCTTTTGTAATATGCTGTCATTTTTGGTGGTATCTCGCACCGCGTCAAAAGTCATGGGTAGTTAGTTCATGGTCTCCAACACCACAGCACGGACTTCCGGTCCTGATTGGCTCCGTTTGCTTCGTGACCTCCGGGATTGACTGCGTCTTTGGCTAGCTTTTCACGTCCAGCACTGGCTTTCCTTGTGCCCACGTCGATCGCACATTAAACATTTCTGTTTTTTATACGGACACAATCGCACAAAATGCCATTCGCCGCATTGCCAGCATGCAGGATAAAGTTGGAATACCGGGGAGTTCGATTGCACACTGAACATTTGTGCTTTTTATACGGACACAATCGCACAAAATGCCATTCGCCGCATTGCCAGCATGCAGATAAAGTTGGCAATGCTCTTAAGTCCCCATTGACATGGAATCCAATTGTAAATTCGATGAGTCGGGCACACTAATCACATCGCCCAAACGTGAACACGTGCGCCTGTTCAGACGTGAAAATTCATATGCGTCCAAAGTACGTTGGTGGGGTAGTAGTTACACGTTCGCCTCGCATTTCAGATATCCGGGGTTCAAATCCCGGCATGGCCATTATATATGATGATGAGCTTTAATAAGAGCGAAACTTGAGTCCAGCGCTTCTGTTTGGTGTGGGCTCACCGGAATAATCACGCCATAACAGGAGGACGACCGTTCAAGCGAGTGGTGTGACTATGAACAATTGTAGTTTCCTTATGAAAATGACATCTACAGATGACTCAATGAAGGTATTGCCGTAGTTAATGAGGTGCAATCAGATATGATGGCAGCGTTTCATCTGGTCAGGTGACCAACGCTAGTTGGTGAGCTCACGCGAGGGACGAACGATTGCTTCAAATAATTGTCTTGAGTTCGGACAAATAACTAAGCGCACACAGAACATCATGTTGATGCGCCAAACGTCAAACTATCAAGCTCTGTAAGAATCAGAACGTAGTCAATATGTGATGCACAGGAAGCAGTCGAACCGCTTGCTGCAAGCATTTCGGTCTCTAAGATGTGTATTGTCCCTGGCGTTGGTCGACGTATACGATACTGGAAGAATAGCACAAAAATGCATGCACATGCTAGACTGGCTTCTACCTGAGATCGGAGAGCGCGCGCAAGCACACATCACATTCTAGTCCGTTAGGCACCGACGTGTGAAACAGACATTTTGAAAAAAAACTACATATACTACTACTACATACTATATATATGGGCTAGACACGGCAAGTGAGCACCATCAGAGAAGCTCTTAATTTATGAGGCATCCGTGTAATCTTCACAACCAATCTAACCGGGGTAAGAAGTAACAGTGGATGAAAAGGAGAAGTGCAAAACAGAAAATTTTCGAGAGCTCATTCATTTGGGACTGAAAGAATCATACAAGTATGGATTCGAAAAATCATAAAATGTCATTGCATGCTAACCCTCTTGAATACACCAAAACTATGCTAGACCAGTGATAAGTTCCTCACAGAAAATAGGTGGAGCACGACAATGCCTTTCCACATGACTGCGAGATGGCTGTGGTTAGGGCACAAATTCACTGACCACAACGACCGTGGTTCGAATCCAAACTCAACAATTTGACTCCCCTGCCTAGGCTCGGGCAACCCGGCAGAATCCCAGCCCTCGTGCTTCTTTCGGGTGGCATGTAAGTTGAACACCGAAAGGGTGTAACACCCGAACGGTTTTTTATGTACCGCGAGTTGAGAGGCACCAAAAAAATAGCTCGACAGAGGTCAGTGGCCAACGCACTGGCCAGAAGGTCCACGATTCGTTCCCAACCTCGGTATTTCAACTGATCTAGGCCTAGGCAACCTGACAGTACTTCAGTCCTTGTACTTCCTTCGGGTGGCACAGCAGCTAGGCACCAAAAGTGTGTTACAGCTGAACACTTAATATCAGCAAAAACAGCCGCAATATTCTTATTCAACAAATTTAATATGGTTCGAATAAAAAGTGGCCAGCAGAGAATGGTGCTGATGGTGATCCCAATCGGGCAGGGGCGAGACGCAAATTGAAGCTTAGCACTCCCATCAATGTGGAATATGGCAGTGAAGATCCGGGGCCAACGCAACCTGACCCCACTCCTTTACCTGCATCAGGTTCCAATAGGTTAGACAGCGACACTTGCTTGGATGGTAGTGAGGAGAGAGCTGGTGATCCTTCAAGAGGACGATGTGATTTACTGCAATCAGATCACATGAGGATACCAAAGCGGTTGATCCCACAGGATTCTCTTGAGGCAATGTATTTGTTTGAGAGTTACCGCGTGTTCAGGCAGGCTGCAAAAAAGCACGGCCAAATGAGATGTGTCATCTCTGAACCATGTTGCCACTGAGTCAGCTTCTCAGAAGTACTCTGTGATGGCACTGAACTCCAAATAACAGTATCACATTGCGGTTCTCGGAAAATATTAGCGCATGAGTAACGAAAGCTGTGTCGTTGTGACCAACGGTGTAATGCTGAAGTATGAATTGGGTGTGGTTAGCTATCGAATGAACTAACTAGTGATGTAGGTTGGAGCGAGACTTTACTGAACGGAAGGTCTACGGTTCGATCCCGACCTCTGTATCTCGACTTCCCCTGTCCAGGCTTGGGCAACCTGGCAGTATTCCAGTCCTCGTGCAAACTTCGGGTCGAATGGCAGCTAGGCACGGAAAGGATGCTACAGCTGAGAGATTATCATCATTATCAGCTGTAAGAACCGCGTACTTGTCGTACAGTGGTTATAGCTGCCACAGTTTCGTCTACTGATGATTTGGGGAGCTGGATTAGGTGGCTGTGCATTGGAGGCGGGAGCTGATAAATTGGTGCGTCAGTACTGGGCTGTCAACGGACTGTTTAGTAGGGGAATAGGAAAGGTAGCTATGGATTGAAGGCAATTGCTTGGATGCACGAGAGCCATTGAGGGCGCGATGGGCCATGTGCTAGGCACGGAAAGGATGCTACAGCTGAGAGATTATCATCATTATCAGCTGTAAGAACCGCGTACTTGTCGTACAGTGGTTATAGCTGCCACAGTTTCGTCTACTGATGATTTGGGGAGCTGGATTAGGTGGCTGTGCATTGGAGGCGGGAGCTGATAAATTGGTGCGTCAGTACTGGGCTGTCAACGGACTGTTTAGTAGGGGAATAGGAAAGGTAGCTATGGATTGAAGGCAATTGCTTGGATGCACGAGAGCCATTGAGGGCGCGACTGGGCCATGTCAGACAATGTCTCTAACCATTAATGTGGCCCGTCTCGGGGTTCTCCATCCACGAAGACGGAAATGACCAGCGCATAAGTTTGTTGGTAACGGCTTTCACGCTTCGCTGCTAAGTAATTGTTTGATTGCTTTTGGCTCTCTTCCACCCTTGGCGTGGTTCTGCAAAAACACCCCTTCGAGGAGGCATACGCAGTACGTGACCAAGCCAGTGTGATCAGTTCATCTATCGTAGACAAGTTATTTCTTCCTGAAAACCATTCAACTGATTTCAGCATTACTGATCCCATGTTTGTACGAGACTCGAGCAACGCTCCAAAAATATCGATGGTCAAGCACTGAAAGTCTTTTTACGTCCTCAGAGCACAGCGGCTAGGTTTCTGACCCGTATAATAATATGGATCGCACCGCAGCATTGTAAACTCGGCCCTTGGTGGATAAGCGGATGTCACGCTTTCGCCACAAAGTCCAAGTGATGCGGCATCAGGAAACTGCTCTGGCCTTCCCAATCCGTATAGTAATATCACTTCTGGTGGGACCACGGGGAGTGATACAGCTTCCCAGGTAGACAAACTAGTCTACTACCTCAATCGACCAATCTGTAAGCATGAGATTAGGGTTCGAGCCCACCCAGTGTTGCAGCAGCACTTTACAATTTTCGGGTGTGAAGTACATGACAAACCGTGAAGCAGAACTATTTACACTATTTAATATTGTTTGTATTACAACAGCGTCAGATCCAAGGAGAACTGCATCTTCTGCGTACTCAACACCTACGGCCGAATGCTCTTAAAGAATTTTGATGCCACGGGCATTAGAGGCTGGTAGTGAGTCTTCCATAATCGGAGGAAGGTGAGGGAGGACAACCTTGCCTGACACCACTGGATATGGCAAACTCAGTCGAAGAAGACCACTAATGTTGATCACTGTTTCAAAATGTCGGAGGACGAATGTCGGAGTTCCCTCTTGAAGGAACTCAGCTGGGTTTCCTCAGATCTGTTTCTCTTACCTCAACTTTCGAAGGATGAGGGCGGAGCATCTTCGATTTCACAGTTATTGGACTGATGCCACGGTGTTTTTCATGCAGCGGCTGCGTACTCTTTTTGATGAAAAGAGTAACTGTTGGCATGCCCCATTCTGCTGAAGCTTTCTCTTCTCTCCATATCGCATCAATGTGTTTCGTTAGATAGGTCAACAGGGATTTTCCGCCTTTGTTAAAGAGGGCTGGATACAGAACATCCGGTCCCGGTGCCTTCTCACGTTTCAGTACGGATACTTCGTACTTTATTTCTTTCTTCGACGGGCAATTGTGGCATGCATGCCATTGACAGGTAATCACTACCTCCGGGCGAGATGGCTCAAGTGATTAGAGCGCGAATTTACTGACCGGAAGGTCAGTGGTTCGAACCCGACCTCTGCCTCTCGACTTCCCCTGTCTAGGCTCGGGCAACCTGACAGTATCCCAGCCCTCGTGCTTCCCCCGGGTGGCATGGCAGCTAGGCACCGGAAGGGTGTTACAGCTGAACGACTACCTCCGAAGGCTGTGTCGAAGGAGGACAACTAAACTACTCGGCCCATCTTTTCAGCTGACGTTTTTGCAAGTAAATTAATGAGCCGTCCTTTTCACTTACAGTTTCACTGACGGTTGCTATCCTAGGGCCAGTCGATCGCATCAGTTGATGTAGGGTGCAGCTATTTCCCCGATGCAAAAGCCTTCCTCTCCCGAGCTTTCGATGTCCGCATTTATTTAGGCTCCTTATTTGGTGTTTGAGAGATTTGCGTGCGCTGTACTACGTGTTGCTTGCTGGTACGGATTTCCTGGCATCAATCAGGACTAGCGATCTCGACGACATCCGGTGGGATTCGATTGAATCGGAGAAGTCGGACAGACAGCACAGAAAGCCGCTAGCATAGGTCCTTTCACGTTTGGCCATGTTCCATCCATGTGCTCGCTACTAGTTAAAGGAAGAAGGCCTTCATTGCGGAGTTATTTATTAGAAAACACCAACTGAACAGTTGGACTATTTTACAGGAAAGCAAAACCCTCATATGCATCTTGTTTATAAAAACTGAATTTCCGTCTTCTTCCCGAACGCGCCTTCCTGAACTTTCATGGATATTCATTGACCATTACTCAAATGTAAACGAATGGTACAAAGCGATTCCATAAATTCCGCAATAAATCCCACTTTCGAATAGTCACGAAGCGGAGTTACGAGAAAACATTACTCGCTTGCTCATCAGTAGTACCGATCGTATGGTGTTGGTTTGCTGTGGAGAGCTGTTGAGCTAGCCCGGATGGGTACTGTTGAGCTAGGGTAGTTCCTCGAAGATGAAGAATTGGCATGCTACTTGCTGACTTGCGAGGGCCTGAAGGGAAACGAACTGTCAGGCGTGCACGCACCATGGCGTGATCGGAATCAAGTGGTGTGCCCCAGAAAGAACGGCAGTCTTGAACTGTGGCTCTCCACCGGCGGCTGATGGCCAGGTGGTCCAACTGGGTCCACGGTTGATTTGTAGTTGGTGGCTACCAGGTTACGCGGTGCGAACGTTTATGCTGGAAGTTCGTACCGGCCAGAAACAGTTCATGATCAGCACACAAGTGGAGTCGACGCTCCCCGTTGTCTGTGAGACGAACACCTACTCCACATCGACCGCCCAGATATGATTCCAAGGAGCTCAGACGATCGACTTGGGCATTCATATCACCAGCAAGGAATACAAAGTCACTGCTTCTTGTTCAACGAATGAGCCCGGATAATTCTCGATAGATATTATCCCTCTCAGCGTCAGATCTGCAGTCCGTTAGGGCGTATGCCGACACTACAAACATGCTCCGTTTTTGTGTCGAGAGGCACTGGACTTGATTAAACTGGAACAGTGCAAAGGCGATTGTCCACTGTAATAAAACCATGCAGATTGCTCAGCTCTGAGGCCGACTACAACCCCCAAGCTCTCGGTGCAAGGCGGCATCGCCGCTTCAATAAAGGTGGCCATGCTGGTTGTCTGTGGGAAAGACCTTACTGCCTTCACACTCCTGTCGCAGAGGACAGTACAACTGTACCCCCACACCACCTCGTAGCACGACTACCTGTAATACGACGCCTCGCTGCTCTTAGTCCGACTGCTCCCCTTTGGCTTTCCTGACATGGTTGCACCTTGTAGAACGAAGTTCCAGTTACTGTAGCACGCAACATCATTGGACCACCCCAGTCCGACCACCAAAGTGGCAGCTTTAGGTTGGGTCCGAGGGCACAAATTGAGCGCATGACAAAATCATGCCTACCAAAGTATCCATCTATTCGGATTTGACTTTCGGGATTCCCATGCAGCGGGAAAGTAGCCACCAACCAAGCCAAGTTTGACATTATGGCCTTCATTCTTTGTGACCACAATGACCATCTCCACATTATGGGGCGAAAAGGGTTCATCAACAGGACTGGTCCACTAGCTTCCGAAAATGTGAGCAAGCTGACGCAGCCTAAATTTTGGCAGTCAACCCCAACACATCATGAAACAAACAGAAAAAGCAAGAGGGCTAAATAGTGTGGTAACTACGACTTACAGAGTTGCTGAACCATCTTCCAGAATTCAAACCGTTCCGATGCAATCGTCGTAAACGGCTCCAGTCCACATGAATACAGTTCTGTTGCACAGCACACTAAGTAACAAATGGTAAAATGAGAGAATTCGTGTTGAGTCAACAAATCATGAAATTGAGCATATAAGTAAAAGTGCAAGTTTCGTCGCAGTTAATGTAGTGCAAACCCAACAGGTGAATATGTATTACATATAGGTAGTCAAAGTTACCAATTGACCTCCATATCGGTGAACGGATATTTTTTAATTTTCGAAATGATATTTAGGCTAAGATATGCAAGGAAGTGGTGTCAGATAGTCTCATACCTCAGAGTTTACCTCCTAGGAGGGCGTAAATATGACGGTGTGTGTTCATTTGCATGTACGGTAGAATCCCTGAACGAAGCTGTGGGTAACGAAGTCGTGGGTAATTGACCCGATCACGGGACACATCATGAAATGGAGAACGAAGTCTGTACTAGAGAGGGGATTTGAGAAAAATAGCGAATATTCCTGTCTCCGGATAATGTAAGGCAAGGAATCACAAAAGGTAATTTTTCTAGATACTTTGGTTTTAGTTTGGTGTACGCTTCCATCACCTGTTAAAGACATCATGCATTTTTGTTGCAATTAGTAAAAAGCTGGACTGCAAAGCATTCGAGTCGCATGAAACAGGCAAAATTAACCTGAACAGAACAAATGTACGACCTAAATTTACCTCAGTCGGTTGCCGAGCCTGAACGTTTAGTCAAGCATCCAATGCGATACCTTGAAAGTCTCGTCGTACCCTGGGTAATAACCAGTCAGCCGTAACACCCTTTCGGTGCCTAGCTGCCATGCCACGCGAAGGAAGCACGAGGGCTTGGATACTGCCAGGTTGCCCGTGCATAGACAGGGGAAGTCGAGAGGCGGAGATCAGGCTCGAACCACAGACATTCCGGTCAGCAAATTCGCGCTCTAACCACTTGAGCCATCTCGCACCCTGGGTGACAGGCTTTGAAACCTTGTAAATCACAGTATGGATGACTGGTTTATTCTGCCAGCGTTTGCTTGTGGACTACTCACCCACAGACCGAAGCATGCCCTACCGGCCTCGGCGTCCGTTTGTCCTTTCCATCTGGGAAGATGAAGTGGTGTACATCGATCGAATCAATCCAAAGTGCCTACATGTCAGCGTTGCCTACCATGATATGCCATCTATCCTAGGTTGAGAACAGGTACAACGGACGCGTTCGTCCGGACTGAGTGGGTGTTCAAGTACCCGCAGCCTATGGCGAGAGATCTGTAAATTTTACAGGTTCTATGTAGACGCTGATACGCCTAGCGCTCCATTAGTTCGAGGAATTTGTTGACGCATATTTGCCGACCCGAAAGTAGGTAGTTCAAACCCGGCCTCTGTATCTCGACTTCCCCACCTAGACTTGGGTATCCCAGACCTCGTGCTTCATTCGGGTGACGTGGCAGATAGGCACCAAAACGGCGTTACAGCTGGATAGGCATTTTTTAATTATATGACAGGGTATATTCTACGGGCAGTTATCTGACGCAACCACACATAGTCAAATAGCGGTTATTTCGTGGTTCCACGAATGACGAAATGTCATCTGGTGGGTAAATAAACTGAACATAGTTGGTTGCTATGAAGCCATCATGTAATGTTAAAATGTGGTTGCTTAACTGTCCAATAATTGCTACACTCGGCTATTTGACGGTTATCCATCGGTTGAGATCTGGTTTTTAATCACGAGGTAACTACACAACACGGTTATTCGGTAGTTCGACTATCGAAAAGGTCTATCGATGAACAATACTGGCCGCATATTTAGCAATTAGTAAGCCACTTTGCAACAACACAACTGCGCTATTTAGACTGTGCTGCCAGGACAACGTCATGTTTCAAAGAGTGAAGGATTCCAAAAACGCTATTCGGCGACTTCAGAAACGATTAAATATGAATAATCACCTGAAGTGCGATTAATCCACCGCCCAAAATCAAGGCAGCCACCCGTCCGATTTTCGCAAAAATATAGCCCGCCACGCTAAATACAAAATACAGCCCGAACTACACACTTACAGGCCAGACCCGACTCCCATCACTATTTGCTGCTGATGCGGCCGTTTTTTAATAGCATCAAGGGTTTCGCTGACTGCAGACAAGGCGCGATCAGTTGGAATTTCATAATCCATCGCTCTACGGAAACCGATTTGCGTAGGGAATGGGTGTGGAAAACTGCATGGGACCTAAACGCGGCTGATCTATGATTGGTCGATGTGGCAGGTGGCCGCAATTCTCCACATGATTCGCGGATTTCCAATGCATCTAGTGAGGCCAAGAGCGTCGTGACGGTCCACGGGCAAATCGTCTCGCCTAATTCATAGGATTGACAGGCTCGGGACAAAGCTTTTGTAGCTGCTCACATCATTTAATTAAGAAGTCATCACAACAGCCGAATAAAGGCTTCCATGCCCCCTCACGAAGCATGGGTACTAGACCTGTCAAGGGTTCTATTCAAGTAGAACGATTAGAGTGTATGTTGGATTCAGGGATTCACATGTTGATGAACAGGATCGAGGCTTTGGCCGACGTTTTCCGGGTCGGTTTTGTTCTTTTCGTTCAGCAGCTGTCGTTTTTCTGAAAAGCACAAGTAAAAAAGGAGTGTAGCACTGCTGTTTGTGTTCTCAGCTCGGGGCATTATGTTTGCCAGCCCGGAAACTCGCACAAAAAAGTGTATGACAGTGCTTTGAACTGGGTTCTAAAAGGAGCGTTGACAACCGTCGGAGGAAGGTTATTCCACGCAGATACTACCCAAATGATGAATGGGTCCGCCCATCTGCGCTGGTCTCCACATGATGCTCTTAGGCGCCACCCTAAAGCCACTTCTTTTTCAAATCTACGACAGCCGACTCACCCTCAAATCAATGGCTAGTTTTTTGTGGAAGACCTGAAACCTTGTATTTCCAGCGCCAGCGCGAATAGGGTGGAAATGGATTTCGCAAGCCAATGACCACTGGGCTGGCACTCGCCTCAGAATAAAGAAATAGACGTCCGTACGCCACTTAAAGCAGACTCGACAAATACCGTCTCTGTACAGAATGATGCAGAATATATTATGAAGCATATGGCTCTCTTCAACGTGGGATTCTTAGGCCAGCACGAAAGATGGGCTTGTAAGGCACTTCCATTCTACGGGAGGTTCGCTACACGTTTCCTCGCGTTGCTCGGATAGACTTACAAGTACTTTCTGGAGCCTACGTCTGGCCGCTTTTTGGACATGCCAGATAAGTTATTCACGCTGGAGGCAAGCGGCATTCAACATTTGTCCAGCGTACGCAATGGACTGGTGCATGCCTGAAGTCCGTTGTAAATGATGCAGGCCTTCGGATTACTTGACTCCCTCACATATACTATCGTCCCCTCCGACCAGACCTGCGTGGGTAAAGTTTGGCTATTCATTCCACTAATACGCGACGGCGGCAGGGCAAACGGCTTCTCAAGAACACTTCCACCATACAAAGTAGTTCGTCTCCAGGGCCTTCAACATGCGGGATGGCCCGTTTCCGATAATTTACCACGCTACACCGTGGACTAGTTCAAAGCACATTTGGATACTCTTCAGGTGACTACATGGATGGCGAGTTTGCACCCGGCATCGACAAATAAAGAGGCGATGTATCGCCCTTTTATCTTCTGTCTCTCTAAAATGTGTCAGGGTGCGCCCAGACAGAATGTGCAGAGAGTGATGCATCCCCCAGGTCACCATCGCTACGACGCGTCCGGAAAGTAGGTGAGTCGGCGGCTCCCACCAAACGCGGCTTAGCAACACAAGCAGCGTAGTGGGCCTGAGACTGTTCACGACCGGAACACCACCATCAGCTGTACGGAACAAACAAGTGAACGACCATACTTGGCCAATTAGTCATCCTATATATTTACGCAGACGCTATGTATGTTTTGTCCTGGAAATACAGCTGTGTCCCCAGTTCACTGTCTTTCCCCTATTGCGTAGTCTAGCAGGCTCAGCGCAGGCGTAACCCATAGACGGCCACCGCAAGATACAACAACGTGCAACGAATCCATCGAAAGAGCGGCTTACATAACTTACTCTGGAAGAGTTGGGAGGGCCTTGATTCTGCGTACCAGTCTGTGAATCCGTGAACATGCGTCGGATTTATCTTGATGGCCAAGACTGCTGCAAATTGTTTCATGGGAAGTCCATGAACCTCTTCGTGGAATAATGCTTTGCACTTTCGGAGTCGCCCCACGGAAGTCGGAGTATATTCAGTGGCACCGATGCCGCCGCAGGCTATTGACACACCGAAACTGAGTTCGCTGAAACTATAGGGTTTTCGAAGATG